TCTTAGTTAAAATTACTCCAAACCTACAAGCATATTTTTAACTCCCATTTCAAAAAGCATCAGGTCAGATGACAACCAGCGATTTCTGAGGCCAATGTTCTGTGCTGCCAAGGACTGTGATCTTTTTTCCTTATTTTTTTTTATTCAAGTTTATTCAAATTCTCATTTAGTTGTTTAGCTTCTCAAACTTTTTTTTTTTTTTTCTCTGAATAACAACTGGAGACTGATACAAACCCATTAAGTATAAACTGTTCAATTAAAATCACAACAAAGTGTCTTCAAAGCCTGTGCTTCAGTAACTACACCATCAGATACGGAGCTACAATATCTCTGAACCGGACTGAGCAATTTTAACAGTGTTTCTGTAAATATATTCACCTCGGGGCCACCAAACAACTGCAGGATCAAACCACTTTTAAAGAGCGTATTTCAGATGGTTATTCTCATCCTCAAATAGCACGCGGCCAGATCACACCAAAACAAGGCAACCTCAAAACACCAGCAGCTGCTGTGGTTTTAGCTAAAACCTGATAACCTTCCAAAGTAAATCAACATTTGCCATATTTGCCACCATCTTACATGCATCATTTTCCACCAGTATTTTCTTCTCACCCTTTGTGTTCTAATGAGAACTTGATTAAGATCCCATAAAACCCTACCTCTAGAATGACACAGTGAGGCTGTCGAATTAATCCAGCATCTTAAGCTGCTTAAAACTACTTTTTTTTTTTTTTTTTTTTTTTAATGGGGAAAAAAATAATTTAAAAAAAAAAAAAGCTGCAAAAAAATCATCAGCAGATCTACAAATCAAAAGTAACTGCAAAGATGTTATACCCTTCCTCTCTGGTATATTTGCATACCTTATTTTATCTTAGAGGGCAGAAATAAACAACAAATCTTAGATTTTCACAAGATCAGCTGTGTTTCACCAACACAGAACCTATAAGTGTTCCTATTCTGTTATCCACATGTAAATATCTTTAGAATCCCAATTTCCTTTTCAAAAGCAGTACCTGGCACCTAATGACTTGACCCCATTACTGGAAAGGCACTATTTAAGATTTTAGCTGACTGGCTACACAGTTTGATAAGCAACATTTCTAGCAGGCTCTCCTTGACAGCTTACAGTCACCAAGGTCAGACATCTCTAGAAGACCAGCAAGAGATTCTAGCTGCAGGTCAACTAACAAACTCAGGAGGCTTTCTTACAAGTCACAGATGTGCTAGGAACTGAGAAGGAAGTACGACGGGCTGCAGTAATGGCAGAAAGTAATTTGGGTCATATAATCTTTGAGAGAATAATAGAAACAGATTTGCTGAGCAGCTTTTATTAAAAATAGCATCAGACTTCAAAAACAGTTCTGTAATGCTTTATAAAGGCAATACTACAGGGAATGCTGTTTTAAAGGTAACGGGTTGGTAACATAGTAGCAGTAACAATACAGCCTAGATATTCCTAGTACAAGAACTACCAGTTGTTTTTCTCCCTCTCCTCAACAATCCACCAAGTCAATAACACTTGATTCTATTCTAGACTTGATACATCCTGAGCACATTACAGAAAAGTTTTTCACTGAGATTGCCTTGAACAGAGCAATCATAGCATGACTTAGCTAAAAATTAAATGGCACAAGATAACATCTGAATTTTAAAAGGAGCGGCACTTATGGAATCAGCTGAGACAGTTAACTGGAACAAGAGCATCAGAGACCTGATCAGTGAGAGAATTCTACAACTCCTTTCAGACAACAGTGCTAAAATTGCAAAGCAAAAGTTTTCCAAACAAGTAAAGTAGCAGGTCTTCCAGCCTCGCTCCACCCCAGGAGTAAAACTGCAATTCAAAATGACTTTAAAATACAGCACCATACACATTAGAAAATGTTTGCTCCTCCTATAAAGAAAAAAATAACTAATTTCATAAAGAGTCTGGGTTGCAAACGGAAGTTGACATAAAATCATCCTTAGCAAATTAAGGAATAGAATTCCTTATGAATTCTACAGCAAGGACTACATGGTCATGTAGCTGAATACTGAAAATCATTAGCAGCTGGAAAAAATATACTAGGGAAGCCATGGTTTGCTGATGACATACAGCCAGGTAAAAAGCAAGTTGAATCACAGGATGCCTCCAAAGAGATTCTTCCTGGGAGAAATGCAAGTATGGACAATGTGCAAAAGGTAGCAAAGAGAAATTACTTCAGAAGACCAAACAGAGCTCTGGAACCTAAGAAATGTCTTTCTGACTGTCACAGCAAAAGCCTGATGCTCTCTGCTCCTCCCTGCAGCCTCACATTATCTCCTTGTGTTATGCTCAGCTCTGACAGCATTTTGAAATTTCTATTTCACTCTTCAAACTCTGCCCATTTTTTTCTCCTAAACATGCCTAATTGTTCACCTTCACCCTAGACAGCTCCATCTGATCCAACCATTTGCTTTATACAGGGACACAGAAAAGTAAAACAGATCCCACCTTTCACATCGTACACACCAGGTGTAACAAAACAGCTTCCAGTGTATGAAGAATTAACCAGACTCCAAGCCATTTGTTTACAGTAAAGTTGAACAATCCTCATTCAACTGACTGCTGGTAGGGCTGCTCCAGTAAATGAAATTATTCTCCTATGAATTTAAATAGCTTTCCATGCACTGTAGGTTTGTGGGTGCTTTTTGTCAGTTTTTGTTTGCTCATTTGCTGAGAGCAGGAGACAGAAGGAGAGAGTAGCTAGTTAAAACTCTCCCTTCTGTTCCAGTTTCTTTCAAGGCTGGAGTTCATCAAGCTTACCAATTTGATGAAAAACAGCTTAGATATAAATAGTATTACATAATTGGTAGGATGTGTGAACGGTTTCAAGAACAAAAAATAAAAATAAAAATAAAAAAAAAAAAGATAAGGAAAGCAGGGGCAGAAAGAGCAGATACAATCCTGCTGTGGTTTAACCCAACCCCAGTTTAGCACCACATGCTCACTCCTCCCCATCTGTGAGTGAGGGAAAAAACTAGAAACAAAACAGAACTCATGAGCTGCAATAAAAACTATTTACTGAGACAGAAAATGAAAACAGAAAAGCAACACAGCAATAGATACAGCAGAAATGAAATTACTCACCACCTGCCAACTGACACAGAACTAAAATGCCAGATGCCAGCACAACATCTCAATCCCTACTGACTGTAGCCCCACAACCCCCAAGCAGCAGTTGCCCATGGCTAACAGCTCACAGCGCGATAGCCTTCCACATGGTGCCACATGGTATGGGATGTCCCCTGGCCTAAATCAGGCCCCTATCCTGGCACCACCCCCTGCCCCACATCAGCACTGCAACAGGCTGCCCAGGGGGGTTGTGGAGTCTCCTTCTCTGGAGATATTCAAGTCTTGACTGGACGCCTACCTGTGCGACCTGGTTTGGCAGGGGAGTTGGACTCGATGATCTCTGGAGGTCCCTTCCAGCCCCTACAATTCTGTGATCATCTTGGCAGCACCTCTTCCCCAACTGAGAGGCCCAGCCAAGCCCTGGGCACACACTCATTACTCAGCAACAGCCAAACATCACTGTGTGATCAGCACCATCTAGGCTAAATCCAGCGCAAACACTTTTAAAACTAGTTACTTAACTCTGCTCAGAATTAGTTTATTTTTCCCCCTAAGGATGAAAACAAAACGCTAACAAAATATCAGTATAAGCCAAAATAATTTATTTTAGGTTCTGCCACTAAACACAGAAAACCTGATACTTACACAATCCTCATCTGTATATCTATAGTCTTCAAACAACAAATTCATGTACTAAAGCAGGATAACTAAAATAAATACCCACTGCAATGAGAGCCAACCTCACACAATGTCATTAGCCTATTACATTATTGAAAAACCAATAAAAGCCTTGATTTCAAGTAAATAAATAGCATACTTAAAGTATACACAGTACAACCACGTTCACTCTGGACATAAAATGTAGTTATTACAAGTTTCTATCTTTCTTGGATACCACAGAAGAGATGAACATAGTATCAACCCCAGAAGAAAATTAAAAACAAAAACAAAGATTGCATGCATTTCAAATCACAGAATGGCTTAGGTTAGAAGGAATCTTAAAGTCCACCCAGTTCTCTCTGCTGTGGAGAAGGATTACAACTGGATCGATCTATTTCCTCATCTGAAGATCAGTAAAATCCTTGCTATTTTACTATAACAACTTACCTATTCTGTCTTAACATTAAAAAACAAAAGTAGCACTGCTGCAGATCACTGAGATTTTAAGGAAGAAAAGCCCATCTAGTTATAAGTCTGATCACACATGCAACACAGGCTATTCAATTTTTTTTTTTATCTTTACCTTCCATATATTTTATACTATTTAAAATACCATTTGTAATACTTATATCCACACTTCATCACTCAAATAATCTCAGTTCATCCCTTGAATTTCCTCATCATCTAGCTCCACACTTCTCTATTTTCCAACTTTGCCTTCTTTTGTTCAATCCACATACTCAGAATCCAAAAGTCAGACATCAAGTAACCAAGTCCTCATCTTCTCGAGTTTTTTTCTCTTTTGAAAGCTACTTAAAAATTCATCATGTGGCAAGCAGCTTTTCAGCATGATGAATGCATACTATTTTGAATCCTCTACAAAAAAATCAAATACGAAAATTTAAGCAAGAAGAGGTGAGGGCTTTGTTTGTTTGTATGTTTTAAGGCAAATTTATATCAACTGCATCCCCAAATATCACGACCATGCTACCTGCTGGCTGTATATATATATATACATACAGAAAAATTAACAGCACACAGACACAACTTTGCTTTTGCAACAATACGAATAGGTTACTCCCAAATAGCTAGTTTAATGAAGAGCCATTTAGCCACTGAACCACACTTCTGTGATCCACATTTCAAGATTTATATTAAAACAGAATGCTTGAATAGACATTCAAGGAGGACAGCATGGACCAAAAAAAAAAAAAAGAAAGGAAAAAAAAGAAAAGAAAATATAGCCTACCAAATATGTTGGTGGAATGTCCTTTCCTGGCAATTGGTTTGAGCTCATTATGTCCCCATCCATATTGCCTATAATTGTCCCAGGCATGCTTCATCATCTGAGAGAGGAAAAAAGCCAAGATTCAGTTATATTCTGAAACTACTTCATAAAATACAGTAATACAGTATTTTATTCTTTATTTGAGACTTCATCTTCCTTATTCATTAGAGCATACTGATAATTATTTTGCCATTATTTCTGCTTGCTAAAGAAATCAAACGCTATATTGCGAGCATTTTCTGAAAACAGAAGTCTATTTGACTTGAGTTACAGGATGCTCTGTATTAGTTCACTTCCATTTTCTTTGCCTTAAATACATACACAGACATTAAGGAATTAGTAAAAATACTGCCTAACTCCTAAGCTGCTATCCGAAAGAAAAAAATCTAATAATACCTGAAGCTCAAAAGGGATTTATTTGCTTAGTCATAGTCTGATGCAACAGCATAATCTTACAATGGTATCGTACTTCTTGTTTTCTTATTGGGAACACCCACTTGACAGAGATATACTGTGGAACAGACTCTACCATGACAAACAGCAAAAGCTTTGATCTTTAGGAAGCATAACGAATGATGCAGTAGATAATTTATTTACAGCTTACTGTTCCTGAAGTATCTGTTTCCATTAGATTTTCTTTTTAATAGAAGTTTCCATTACTAAAAAAAAACAATCACCAAAATCTTGTTGGTCCACAGTGCAATGGAAATTCTAAGTCACTGCCTGAAACAGTGATTGAGCACCTACTGGGAAGGCAGGGCCAACCCAGGAAAGTGGAGGTACAAGATGCACCTGAGTGACTGGAAGGGGTGGAGCCAGGATCCAGCCCCTCCCAGACCTCATTTAAGGGTTAGCAGTGGGGGTGAGAGCATCTCTTGCTGGAAATCCCTGCCTACCTGAGACTTTCCAAAGGTAAGTAGTTCTTTACCTCTGCAGCTGATGCGTTTCAGCTTGTTCTCATTTGCTGCCACCAAAGACTTTGCCACCCTGCTATTATTATCCCAATATACATTACACAAGGCTATTAGTTGCACATATCATCTGCTAAGCAATAATTTCTTTGTTTGCATACAGCTGAAATTCTGCAGCCACAAAACTGTAAAACTGAAAGTACAGAACTGCAGTATAATCATATTGCTTACCTAAATTATAGAATGGCTTGGGTTGGAATGGACCTCAAAGATCATCAAGCTTCAACACCCTGACACAGGCAAGGCTGCCAACCTACAGATCTAGTACTAGACCAGGCTGCTCAGGGCCCCATCCAACCCGGTTCTGAACACCTCCAGGGATGGAGCATCCACGACCTCTCCGGGCAGCCTGTTCCAGCACCTCATCGCTCTCTCTGTGAAGAACTTCCCCCGACATCCAATCTAAATCTTCCCTCCTTGAGCTTAAAACCATTTCTCCTCATCCTAACACTATCTACCCATATAAAAAGTTTATTCCTCTCCTGTTTATAATCTCCTTTTAAATACTGGAAGGCTCAATGAGGTCTCCTTGCAGCCTTCTCTTCTCCAGGCTGAACAAGCCCAGCTCCCTCAGCCTGTCTTCACACAGAGGTGCTTCAGTCCTCCGATTGTCTTCATGGCCCTCCTTTGAACCCTCTCCAATAGCTCCATAAGCAGATCAGAACAGATAACAGGAAAAAATCTGATTCTTTAAAAACACTTCCCCAGACAAAAGGAAGTTAGGAACAAACTTATTCTGAAGAAGACTCCTGAATTAACAGTCATGCAGTTGTATCCACAGTGCTGTACATATTTCATTTTTCTATTATGACTTTTAAAAGTGGTATTAAAATACTGTCAAATAAACAAAAACCTCCAGAAAATGCACAGAAATTAAATAATCATTTCCATAAAGTTTGACAAAAGCTCCCTGAAAGGAAAAAAAGAAAAACAGAACTACACTAATGCAACTTAAAGACCTTTGCTAACCCCTTAAGAAACTGATTATATTGTAGCAAGTAACTGCATGATTTACAAGAATGTAGCATTCTTATTTTAATCCATCACCATATCCAGAGAAAATCTTAAGCAACAAGCAGATGTTGGCTCATAAGCATTATCGAACATAAGGCATACAACAGCTCTTTTCTCTCACTAAGTCTAGGACTCACTGGAAGTCAACATCCAGTATACATAAGTCTTTCAAACTGCATCCATGCTGCTGAGAGATGCAAAGTACAAGTCACTGTCTCTCTACAACCATCATGAGAACCCTATCCAAACCACGCAGCCATAATTTGTCTGAACATCGACTGAGACAGGAGAAGAGCTTGGAGGGAGTCAACTTATGCCTGGGTGATAACCTGGAACTTAACAGAGATATACAAGCAGGGCACGAACTTGTAAGAAAAAGAGAACACTAAAAGAGGAGAAAAGAGCCATTTCATCAGCACTGACACATTCCTTAGTGTTTAACAAGCACATGTCTCTATAATTAACAGCTACTCAAACAAAGATGGCTCAGTCAAAGAGAACCTCTACTAGCATAAGAAAACTGCAGAATGACTAAATACAGTAAAAAAGCCGATCACGGATAGCACAGCTCTGAGAGTTCCTACCAATATTATCCAGAAACAAACAATTCTTTTTCTTTTTATTAACTTATGGTGATAGAATCAAGAATCACAGCTTCCCTCGGACTGGAAGGGACCTCAGAATGTCTTTATTCCAACCTCTAGACTAAAGCAAGGTCACTGACGAGATCAGACGGGGCTACTTAAGGATGGGACAGGACAGTCAAGGTCTTCCTGAATTATTGTGCATAAAATCACACACAGAACATAAAGTCCTGAAAACACTACTTTGAAGAAAAACAGGCTTGTATTTTTAGAAAGCACTAGAGTGTAGAGCTAAAAGTTACCACTGAGCTCTGTATCTAAGTTTGATAACGGATGTCTAAACAACAGGAGCTTTAGCCAATCTTCTTCCACAAAAGGGGGAATGAGCTTCTAAGACCTTAAAATGCATCAACGACATTTTTCACAACTGAGAATCAAGTCATTACTGATATTTTAGCTCTGGAAAAGTCTCAGACAAATTGTAGACAAATATCAGCATAGATAACAAATTGGCTAAGACCAAAAGAAAGAGCAATACGTTGTTTACTCATGGCAGAATATTAATCAGGGAATATTTCACTGTTCCAATTTGTTACGCCTACTGGGAAACTGAGGAGAAGGTATAATTTTGTTTTAAAAAAAAAGTTTGTAAGCAGATCGCTTAGTTCTGAGGAAACAACAACACACATTGCATAAAGTATACACCACTGCAAGTTTCAAAAATCTTTAAGTTTCTAAGATACCTGAATGTCATCTTAAGAGAAATTGTAAGATAGACATCTTAAAGGAACTAATTTCACCAGATTAATCAATCGATGAAAAAGCAACCTAAGAAGATACAGAAGCACTGTCAAACATGAGAGACTAAGATATAGTTGACTGTACTGACTAACATTCTGAGAAAGGAAATTATATTTTGAAGAGTATAGGCTACTTGCACAAACATGAGCAGGTGTTTGCCATATCTCCTCTGCCTCTCCCAAACAGGAAACAAAGGAACTGAAATTGTAATTCTCCAAGGATCTTTTTATTATTTTCACATTAGCAAATCAACCAATTTGTTCCAGACAAACACTGCAAAGTATTCTGGTAAAGAAGGTGATATCCTTGTCTACCACTGAGCCAAGACTTCAGCGTATCAGCTGAGCAGACAACTGCATACATGAGAAATCCCGCAGCTCTTGTACAGAATATTGAGATCTGTAAGCATTATATACCAAGAGATCTGGTAACAACGTAAGATTTGTGTTTCTGCCGGATGTAGTAACAGGATACACACCTATATTAACTGGGAACAGAAGTGTGGGAGATGGCAGAAGACACGCCTCTGACTGCTAGAACTCTAGCAGAGGATATTACTTTGGCTCAGGAACTATAAGTAACATGCTTATAGTAAGCCCTTGGCATTTGATGGCATATAATACAAAGATCTTATCATATGGCCACCAGAGAATGAACATATTACTGATGGAATCTCACTGGTTCTATTAATTCCAGACGACCGATTCTTCTTTTGACAGAAAACAAATCCTATTAGAATAGGTTCATTACATACCAGTCTCAAAAATATTTATCACAGGATGCATCCAAAGTCAGCAAGGCAATAGAGCGTGTACAGCATGACAGTTCTACAAAAAGATTAATTTGGACTCTGCTGCCAGAACAGCAAAAAGCAGGATGTGTCTCAAATGAAACTGCTTTTGTACATACAAAATACTTAGATCCTTTTACTTTAGAGCACATGCACCTGGTTCATCGGATCTTATCCATTGTGCTTGCTAAGAAATTGGTATTTCATAAAGGCAGAATTGTAATGATGTCTTTTAACAAAATCATATTTTCAACAACAAAGGGAGATTACAGTAACGGAAATGACTCTTGTTGGATAGTCTCATCACTACTGCAGTACACTGAAGCAGTCTGGCTTGAACTATTATTCCTTAAGGCCTCTTTTCAGTTCCTCAAACAGGGTAGAGATTTAACTTAAAAGACTAAATCCTAGTCCTACGAAATAAGCAAATAAAACAATTTGTTGAGAATTGCTGTGACTAGAAAGGAATGATCTTTTCAATGTACTGATACTCAGATGCTTGAAGATAATTAGAAAAATAATTATTTCATTCTTCCAAAAACTACAAATTTCTACCTAAACAGAAACTAAAGTATCCATTTAAACCTCTGCCATGCAAAAAAATCTGCTTGGAACACGCTTTAAGACACAGAAAACTGTCTTCATTTTCTGATATAACTAGCAACAGATCCATTATTATATCAAAACAAAAACGTCGATCACATTAATGCAAAATGGAGAACTTAACTGTATGCATAAAAGACCCAAAGCCCAAGATATCTGATGGAACCAAGGGCACAATACTGCAGTTTGGTAAGAACTGAAACAGTAGACGTCAATGGCACAAATGTGGAAAGTTTACAGCAGTGAACTGACTGCTCAAATTTCTGTAAGAAAGCCAAAAGTGTTTTGATTTTTT